GTCATTGTACCAAAAAGTAATGGTCCATGTTCAATGATTTTAAAAGGAAGCATATGATCATTAAATGATAGTACTAACAAAAAAGGTCCAAATACTTCAGGTGTTAGAAAAAGCAAGGTTCCAGGAATTGAGGGAATACAGTTGAATTCTTTCAACAAACTGATGCAGTGTTGGAGGTACTCACTCATCGATGAGATGGAATTTGGAAGACAATTACCTGGCCAACCAATAGGAAGAGATTCATATTTGTGTCCATTCCTAAGAGAGGTGTCCCAATAGAATGGTGAAATAATCTAACAATTTCATTAATATCACATGCAAGTAAAATTTTGCTGAAGATTATTAAAAATTGACTACAATAGGACATCAACAGGGAACTGCCAGAAACTCAAGCCAGATTCAGAAGAGGATGTAAAAGTAGGGATATCATTGCTGATGTCACATGGATATTAGTTGAAAGCAGAGAATACCAGAAAGATGTCTACTTGTGCTTTATTAACTGTGCAAAGGCCTTTAACTGTGTGGATCATGGAAAACTATGTGTAACATTGTGAAGAATGGGTATTCCAGAACACTTAATTGTGATTTTGAGGAACCTGTACATAGAGCTGGTCAGAAAATTTCAAAGGGAAGCTTAAGAAGACAGAAAGTAAAATATTAAAATAAAATGTGCATAGACTGGAGTTAGTAACCAAAAGGGAAAAATACTTTCAGCACTCCTCAAACTGAAAGGACTGAGAAAAAAATTCACCCTCGACTTGGGATATTGAAGAATTCTATGGGCAATATCCACCACTTGTCAGTTTATTGTACTGTGGTGGCTTGTGTGGTACTGTGATGCTGGAAGCTATTGTGAATACCAGCAGGGTCACCCATGGGGGACAGGTTTCAGTAGAGTTTACAGATTAAGACATACTAGTAAGAAGGAAAGGCAAACCACTTCTGAATGGTTAACCACTGAAAACCTTATGAATAGCAGTGGAACTGATACAACTTAACCTAATAACAAACACTCAAAATGACAAATATTGAATGACAGAGGAAGCATCAAAAAAGAGATGGACTACACAGGAACTGAGCCAAAAAGAAGTGGCCAATGTTCAGCTATTGCAAGCAACATCTGAGCAACAATGAATGGCACTGAAGAAAGTAATCCAAGCTGCATTGGAGGCCCAGGCAAAAAGCAAGTCTCCAAAAATAGACTAAAAGCAGAGAATTCCAGATTTTTTTACCTGTGCATTATTGAAAATGCAAAGGCTTTCGATTGTGTGGATCATGACAAGCTATGGAAAACACTGCAAGGTATGAGTATTTCTGAACACTTAATTTTGTTCATGAGGAACCTGTACACAGACCAAGACACAGTTATTCAAACAGAACAAGGTATACTGAATGGTTTCAAATTAGGAAATGTGTATGCCAGGGTTGTACTCTTTTGCCATGCTTATTCAGTCAGTATGCTGAGTCAATAATTTGAGAAGCTGGATTATATGAAGAAAAACGTGGCATTAGGACTTGAGGAAGACTCATTACCAACCTGGAATTTGCAGATGATCTAACTATGCTTGCTGAAAGTGAAGAGGATTTAAAATACTTATGGACAAGACCTCTTTACTGTGTTCAAGAGCAAAGATGACAGTTTGAGGAATAAGGTGCACCTGACCCAAGTCATAGTATTTTCAATAACTTCATATGCATGTGAAAGTTGAACAATGAATAAGGAAGACGGTAGAAGAACTGATATATTTGAGTTAAGATGTTGGAGAAGACTGAGAGTACACAGGACTGTTAAAAGAACAAACCAGTTTGTGTTGGAAAAAGCGCAACCACAGTGCTCCTTGGAAGGCAGGATGTCAGCACACAAATTCCATCAAGGAGTAAAGTAACTTGGTAAAAGTCATACCTCAAATTTAATTGATAGTCAATAAATATAATGTCTCCTGTTATATTTCCCAAATCCTGTGCTAATTAGAGGTATATAAAGAGGACAGACCTTTTAATTAAATGCAATTTTACCAACCATCAACCTAGTTCCCTAAAAAAAAAAAAAATGTGGAAAGAATTTAAGTCTGAAAAGATTTGGATTCTTGACTTTACTACCTAAGACCTATACATGTCAGACAAATACTACTCCAAATCTTAATTTCTTTAATAAAATTTGAAGTTCATAGCACATTGTTCTATTTTATAATTGTATTGTTTTTCCTAACATGGTACTAGTGCAGAACTTCAAAAAATATATGGCACAATACAAATATAATGGCTTATTTATTCATTAAAAGTCAACTCCCATGAATTTTCCATTAGAAACAAAACATTGAATTGCACCTAATAGTAACTAGTGCAGACAAAAGCGATCAGATCTGAAATATTCCAATATACTCATTAACTATAGGGACAGTCCAAGGAAAATTCTAGGAGAACATGAGATAATTGTCTTCAGAATCCTAACAGGAAACACAACACACATGCAGTCATTTTATCCACTGGTTTATGAGAAACTTGAATTTCCTTATTAAATTTCCTAATTTCTTCTAATAATTTCACCCCACCCCTCTGGTCATAGATACTTAATCTTACTAAATTTAGTGGCACATTTTCAAGTCTCTGTTTATAGGAGTCCTTGGGTGGCGCAACAGTGCTTGATTAAAGGCCTAAAGGTTGGCAGTTTGAACTTATCCAGAGGCACATTAGAAGAAAGCCCTGCTGATCTACCTTGGAAACCCTAGGGAGCATAATTCTTCTCTCCAACACATGGGGTTACCATGAGTCAGAACTGACTGCTTGTTTATAAATGGAAGTATAAAGACCTCAGGTTCTAATCATGGTTTCATTTACTCAAACATTTGGAATAGCCATCACTTGCTAGATGGTGTAGACAGCTGTAGGAAACAAAATGAATGACAGATCAAGTTTTTGCTTTCATGTTGCTTATTTTCTGTGTGCCCTTGGGATTCTACGGATTCTCTCTTAGCCTATATTCTCATTTCTAGGAATATAATCTTGGTGTGAAAAATAAATAACATATATAAAGAAGTCTAATGGATCTCAGGTAAGGTAGTGGTTATGTATTGGGCTGCTAACCTCAAGGTCAGCAGTTCAAAATTACCAGCTGTTCCAGGGGAGAAAGATGAGACTTTCTGCTCCCATAAAGATTTACAGCCTTGGAAGCCCTGTACAGGGTCGCTAGGAGTCGGAACCGACTCTACAGCACATAACCACCAACCACCAATATGAATATTAAAATGCCCTTTAAGACTATATCAATCATTATCATTTTATCTTAAACCATTACTCTCAGATACAGCTACAGACCTAGAGACTGTTCAGAAACTGTCATTCTCTGTAAGGTAGTATTTACCATTTTAAGTCTTCACTGGGTTAAGATTATACAATTCCTCTTCTAATTCTATTCTCACTAACTTTCTGGATACATATTTGTTTTCCAAGGAATCTAGTTACCACCTAATCTGGTTAAGAATAAAAGTGTCTCGATCACTGAAAATTTATACCCCTGATAAAAATGAATAAACTCTTAAATTTGGCTATTGGGTATCACTGTCAGTTTCTAAGCAACTGGGTGAACTGACATTAAATTCCTACACACACTGAACAAAAATTCAAACCTGTCCCCAAGGGAATAAGCAAAAAATGTAACTATTTTTAATATAAAGTCTTTACTCAACATGAGTCAACTACCAAAGTTGTGATTTGTGAATCTCTTTAGTGATAGAAGCATCATAAAACCTGGTCGTCTAATTCAGAAGTTTAATTCTTTTACCATCAAAAGCTAAATTGATACCCAAAAGCATCTATTTGCATTTCATATGCTTTAGCTTATTTTATTTTACTCTTGTCTTTGTGCCCATGCTTTAAACTATTGTTCAGTGTCATCAAATCGATTATGACTCATGGGGACCCTGTATAAGGTTTCCAAGGAGTGCCTGATGGGTTTGAACTGCCAACCTTGAAGCCCAGTGCATTATCCTGCAGCGCCACATTATTTGCTTTTTTTACTCTCAAAGAATGTTGAGGTCGGTTGAGTGGTTGGTACACACGAGGTAAGCAAGTTAAGGTCCAGGGCTTAAATGCCAAATAGGTTAGTTAGCTTTTCAAACTAGCAGGTGTGAGAACACTTGACTAGCCACAGAAAACGTCACTAATAAAACAGCTGTGAATATAAACCATACTGAAAGAAAATCGGTGTCTTTTGTTTTTTCATAAAGGTATGTTTCCTTATTATCTTTTCCGCATCCTTAGAAAGCGGTCTTTCTAAAAAGAAAACCATTGCTGGTTTAAGCAGGATACACTCAACACGTCAGTCTTTCTACCCAGAAAAATATATGGCACTACAAGTCAATTGGAGTCCTGGGGTGTTACTGTTGTTGTTGTTATGTGCCCATGGAGTCGGTTCTGACTCATAGAGACCCTGTACAGAGTTTCCGAAGCTGTAAATCTTTATACAGGAGCAGAAAGCCTCATCTTTCTCCCGCAGAACAGCTGGTAGTTTCGAACTGCTGTCTTTGAGGTTCGCAGCCCAATTCATAACCATACGCTACCAGAGTTTAAGCAGGATACATTCAACTTGTCAGTTTTTCTATCCAGAAAAATACATGGCACTACAAGTCAATTGGAGTCCCGGTGTGTAGTTGTGGGTTAAAGCACTGGACTGTAAGGTCGGTTTGAACCACAGGGTCGGCCGTTCAAGCTCACCAGCTGCTCCTCGGAAACCCTATACAGGGTCGCTATGAGTCGGAACCGACCCAATGGAACTTAACAACAAAAAAGTCAATTATTTTACATATTTATAATTGGATAATAAACCACTGAAAATTAACACCACCAATAATTGTATCTTTGACACTTGGAGGTAGAGATTTAGTCAGAATATAGACATTTTAATTTTATAAATCACATATTCAAGAGAGTAATTAACAGAACGTTGCCGATAGAGGGCCTGGGCTGAGACCTAGAACTTGTCTTTTCTCCCCAGTGCTGTATCAAGTACCACTATTCTCAAGAGCTACCAACAAGTCTGTCCAGATGCTAAGCCCTGGGACTTGGAAATCTCCATCCCGTGCCCTGTAGGACTTCAGGGTAGTTAGGACCTCATCTTTCACGGGTGAAGCGGCCTGGCAGAGGCTTTGAAACCTGTCGTACAACTCCTCCCAGGCTAAATCTTGGGGCTTTGCTCCAACCCAACTGCCTTTCTGTAGGTCATAGTGCAGAAGGCAACCCCAGTCTGTTAGCAGCCCCAGATAGACCCGGAAGAGCTCTGGGTGGCGGCCGATCACGGAAGCTAAAAGACCGGCTGGGAGGTTGCGACAAAAGACAACCATGATGTCTGACTTTTCTAGCAGCCAACGGACCAGCTCCCGCCTCTCCTCTCCTGGTGTTTTGGCGTTGCACAGATCCAACTTCTCTTCTTGAGAGCAGGTAGACAGCGGTGGCAGCGGCGGCGGCGGCGGCGGCAGCAGCAGAGCGGTGGCGATCACCTTCAGGAAGTTGTTCTGAGGCAAATGCTCCCACAGTCGGCTGAGACAGCTGCAGGGGCCCTCAGCTTCCAGTGCCCCGGCCTCCTGCAGACGCTGCAGCAGCAGCTCCGCCTGCGTCTTTAGCAGCGAGTCCTCCTCAACCACCGGGTTCTCCCGGTAGCCATTGAGGTGCAGCATGCGGACAGCGGACCGGCGGCGGGCGAGGAGGGCCAGGCTGTCCTGGAGCGTCTCCTCGTCAGTGTCCTGGACGCCGGGGCCAGGAAAGAGCAGCTGCAGCAGGTGGTGACAGGCTGCATCCCCGAGGGCTCGGTTCTCCAGTAATCGCAGAGCTAGCAGACTGTCACAGCGCCCCAGGGACTCGAAGTTTGTCAGTCCGGAGGCTGGAGTCGGCCCAGGCCTGCCATCCTGCCTCCACTGCTTGTGTAGTCGCTGCTCCAAAGCCTTGCGGATGCGGCTATGACGGCCGAAGCGCCGGTGGACATGGCGCAGGTAGCGAGCCCACTGCAAGGCCCGACGCAAGGTCGCGGGGTCCCAGGTGTCGACGTGGGTCGTGCGGGAGACGGCCAGAACCTCACAGAAACGCTCCAGGTGCTGCAGGAGCGGCTCCATGTGGCGAGCAAAGGCCTCACTTCCGCTTTTCATCCAGTGGCGGTGACTCTTGGTGTGCGGATTGGAGCATTCATGGGAGGATTCGCCTGTCTGCAGTGCTATTGGACAAAGTTGCTGTCAATCTGAACACGGCTTTATTTCGGATTCCTTGACTCTAGTGGTGGTTTTCCAAAGTTCTGTCCTGTTGATTCTGTTGGTTCTAACTCTTAGCGAGGTTAAGTTTCCGAGGAGCGGCTGGAGGTTTTGAACCTTACTATTTGCAGCCCAGTGCTTATCCTACAGCACCACAATAAGGTCTAAACTAGTAAAAGTCTAGACGGTGTCACTTCCTGAGTTGAGGCTGAGTTAAGTATAGAGCATTCTAGAGAGCATTCCCTGGAACCAATCATCAAAATTGGCTGATCATCATCCAAAAAACGTCTCTTTGCTCCCTTTTGCTTTGCAAATATCCATAGGAGACGTTTTTCCTGAGCTTTACCTGTAAGAATTTGTCGAGGTTTCTCATTATTATATAATAACAGACATGTCACTGAATGTATGAGAACTGGATTCAATAAAAAATTTAAATTCGACTCAATTTCCTAAAAATCTACTGACCTACTTACTGTTAATTGGAGTCCGTTAGAACCGCAAGGTTCAAGCTCACCAGCTGGTCCTTGGAAACCCTATACAGGGTCGCTTTGGATTGGAACCGACTCGCCGGCACCTTAACAACTATTAATTGGAGTCCTGGTGTGGCGCTGTAGCATAAGTGCTGGAGTTCTAACTGAAAGGTCGGTGGCTCAAACCCACCAACCACTCCTCGGAAACCTCTAAACAGGGCCACTATGAGTCTGAACTGATTGAACGCATCTAACAACAACTTAATTAATGGTAGATACCTGGTGTGGCGCTGTAGGATCAGCACCACAAGATTGGCAGTTCATATTTACCAGTTGCTCCTCGGAAACCCTGTACAGGGCATTTAACAACATTAACTAATGGTGGCATTTTTTTTTTCTTTTTGGTCCTTGCCTCTAGAAAACAGAATCAGATGCATAGCCTATTTTTAGCAAACGTTAAATTCTTAATTAATTATTAGATTGAGCACTTCTTATATCACATAGACAATACAATGTACTAAGGATTTGGTGGTGACTTTTTTAATTTTTAAAAATATTTACCACTAAATCCTTAGTACATTGCATTGTCTGTGAGCTATAAGAAGTGTTAATAATAAACAAAAGATAAACATGAGTCCTAGTGTGGTGCTGTAGGATAAGCACTGGATTGCTAACCACAAGGTTGGTAGTTCAAACCCACCAACCACTACTGGAAAATCCTATGCACAGTAGCTATGAGTCAGAACTGACTTGACAGCATTTAACAACAACAAGAAGATAAACATAGTCCTTGCCCTAGCAATTTATCTAGTAGTTAAGACAGATATTAAAATAATCCCAAATGTGAGAGGAAATATTAATGGAGGAGAGTTGCTAATTCTTAGGGTACAGGAAAGGACTCTTTGAGAAACTGATTTTTCAACTGCTAGTTGAGAAAATCTTTTAAGGAACAGTGAGTTTGCAGGTATTTGAGTTTGAGAGCTGGGCCCATTCATGGTGATGAAAGAAATCCAATAGCACTGCCTTTGGTCCAGGATGGAGTAAAAGTGCACTCGTATGTCAAGAATTGTGCATATTATTAGTGTCTCCAGTTTCAGATCTTTCTGCTCTCCTTATCTATTTAAAATTTTTTTATATATTAAATCATCACATGAGCTTATAGTATATAAATACCCATTTCTGATTAGCCTACTTTTATTAAATGAACACATTAAATATCTACGAAGTTTTCCTCTATGGAAGAAAGAAAGTCTTAGGTATTGGTGCTTCTCCTAAATGCTCCATGTAATTTAAAAATTCAATGGAACTCCTACTAGGAGTAAGTTACTAGTTACTGAAATATGATAACAGTGTCCTTCATTTCAGAAATGGACATTTGAGGCAAAGGTGGCTATGGGCACAAAAACATTAAACTATAATGCAAATCAGATTTTACATTTTAAAAACAGTAAGAATGATGTTATGGCAAATAAATGTAAACTCTGACAAGAGGATTCTGGGAAGAATTTGTGAATTAAATTGTGTCCCCCAAATATGTATTGGGAGTCCTTGTGTAGCGCTGTAGGATAAGCACTGGATCACAAGGTTGGTTTGAATGCCTAGGTCACCAACCACTCCTCAGAAACACTATACCTGGTTGCTATGAGTTGGAACCAACTTGATGGAACTTGAACAGCAACAAATATGTATTGACATTCTGGTGGGTATGATCCTTTTTGGAATTGAGTTTTCTTATGTTAATGAGAGCATACAAGTATAGAATGGGTCCTAAACCTAATCACTTCTGAATCATAAAAACTAGTAGATTCCAGAGACAAAACATCATATGAAAACAGACACTTAGGCAGATGAATCTATAGTTCCAGGACACCAAGAAGTTCCTGTAGCTACTGGAATCTGAAATTGACAAAGAAGGATCTCTAGAGCCACTCTCCATAGTCAGACTTGTAGCCTCTGGAACTATGAGAAAATACTTGTGTATTCTTTAAATCCACCCACTGTGGTATTTTCTGTTATGGCAACATTAGGTAACTAACACATAAGACTTCATAGAGGGGTGATATTACACTTACACCTTAAAGGGTCCATATAGTCATGGGATAAAGGAAAATCCAAGTTTAGACAATAACATAAGACAACATTTAAAGGCATGAACAATAAAAATAAAAATATGGTGGCATTAAACCCACAAGAGTCAAGTAAGTGGATTTAATTCCATCATATTTTAATAGAATCTGATATTTGGTTTACAAGTCTCTGTCCTAATTGACCATATTTTAAGAAATTACTGATCATAACCTTAAATATGCAAAATTGGTCCAGTATTAGTACCACATCCGATATACATTCATGGCCTAATATGTTTTATCTATGTTCTTGCCCACAGTTGGATTTTCCTTTAGATTTTATTTAAAATATGATGGCAAGTGAAACAGCATTAGCAACGTAGGATCAACAAAAATCGGCTTTCAAAAATTATCCACCTCATGGAGCCCTTGTTGTTATTGTTAGGTGCCATCGAGTCGTTACCTACTCATAGTGACCTTATGCACAGCAGAACGAAACACTGCCCCATCCTGCCCTAGAAAAGATTAAATGAGACAATAAATGTGAAATACTATTATGGTGCTATAGGATGGGCACTGCACTGCTAACTACAATGTTTACAGTTCAAACCCACCAGCCGCTCCTTGGAAACTCCATACAGGGTTGATATGAGTTGGAACTGACTCAACAGCATTTAACAACAACACCCACCACCACTATAACATCTATTGCCAGAATTCTGATTCATTTCTCCTAATATCGGTTTTATATCAGTATACATCAATCCTATAAGACCTCTCTGAGACTCTGGCAACACCTGTTCCTCTCCTAAATCCTTGGGGCTTCATGCTCTTGCTAATTTCCAGATGCCCTAGCATGCTTTGTTGATTCCCTTTATCTCTGCCCATGCTTCTGTAAATTTTGCTTTATTCAAAATCCCTACTGATTTTACCTTTTTCCTGCCAAGACCTTGACAGACACACTGGTCTGAATTCTCAGGCATTCTATAATTAATATAAGCCTCAGAGTCATGATCTCCTCCATCAGTATGTGCTCAGAGAATGGTGAGTAGTCTAGTGAAGTGATCCCCCCAATTTGTCATTGTTATATACTGTTGCCAATCTATAAGAAAAAGCATTACTGTTAAAAAGATAAATAATAAATATGTGAGAACAATGTGAAGTGTTTTTATAAATGTAATTTACTCAAGTAAATGAAATGAAATGATGGTAACCTTAAACGACAATTTTGTATTTTCTTAATTTGGAAAAAATAAAATGTTTACAATGTTATGTTAGAAATCTACCTTTATATATGTGTGTGTGTATGTTTTCTAAGCCTGTGTAGGAACATCACCTATCTAATATAAGAAATGGTAGAAATATTTGTAAATGAAACTGGAAACATAAATTGGAACCACCTTATGAATACCATCGAGTATTGTACTAAGGAATTGGATCTGTGTTCAACTCTATTAATAATTTTTGAGATAACAACAGTATAATTATTTCCACATTATAAAGAAATACAGGACTCCTGGTGTGGCGCTGTAGGATAAGGACTTGACCTCAAGGTTGGTTTGATTTGAACTGCAAGGTGAGCAGTTCAAACTCACCAGCCGCTCCTTGGAAACCCTTTACAAGGTTGCTATATGTCAGAACCAACTCAATGGCATGTAACAACAGCAACAATAAAGAATTGACTTTAGCCAGTTGGAATAAATGGCTAGAAATGGACAACCACAAGAAAAATATTACAATAGTTCAGGTGAGCAAAAAAAGGTGCTCACTAAGGAAACGACAGAGTAAACATTAAGAGGAATAGGGAATGAATGAATAGTGATGAAATTTGAAAACTATTTTGGAAGATGAATAAACAGATTTTAATGAATAGGAGAATCAAAGATTGCTTAGCATATTCTAGGTTAAGTGTGTGAAGTCCCTACATTTGTAATGGAACTTGAATTGATTTGACCTAGTGCCAGTAACCAGAAAAAAGAAAATTAAAAAGGCATAAAAAAAAAATAGCAGGATTATTGGCTCACTGACTATTCCTATGACCTTGTTTTGTAATCCCAGACCATTGCCATTCCTCACATGCTTTGGGATTCCTGGATTATGAGAGTACATAATGGAATAGGTAATTAGTGAATATGTATGTTAATATCACATGCAAATAACATTTTGCTGAAGACAATTTAAAAATTCTTGTAGCACTTCACTGACAGGAAACTGCCTGAAATTCAGGCCAGATACAGAAGAGGATAGGAATGAGAGATATCATTGCTGACATCAGATGGAACTTGACTGGAAGCAGAGAATACCAGAAAGATATTTACCTGTGTTTTGTTGACTATGAAAA